TACAAACATATACAATTTTATTGATATCTCTACAGACTACAAGAATTTTAAGTATAGTCACAATTGCTGAGTGAAACAGAAAAATAGTATTTTGTCATTTTCTGAAAAGATGCAAAAATTCTGAAGATGAAAGAAAGATACATCAATGATATCATCTGTTTCTTATTTCCTAGAATAAAACATCACATAATTAAGTACTAAAAATTATAGTTTATTAGAGATTTTGATCCTGTGTACACTTGTCCATAACCATCACCTAGTTTATTTTCTGACTTCGCAGCTGAGAAGGGTGGGCCAGTACTCAGGGAGCAGTGTGAGAGAAGAGAAGTCCCGTGAGTTTTCTCACTGAATGTTATTGCCGTGGGTAGGCAGACTCTCCGTTTGGGGGTGAAAGCACTCTTTCAGGGCATTGGAGGCCAGATAGTGAGTTATAGGCCTTCTTCTCCCTTGAAATGCCTGTCCAGTTACTAAGAAAATGGATCCAAGTGACCCTCGGAGCTAACAAAAAAAGGGAAGAGTTGTTCTCCCTTCTTGCTAAGCTCAAGTCCAGTAAAGTATACTGATAGCAGTACAGGTACCTGCTACCCATATCTCCTCCAAGCGATGAGTAATAAATTTGGACCTGATTTAGTAAGATTGTTTTGAGCATTTCCACTATGAAACTATTGAGAATTAGTTTTCTACATAGCTTTACATGCTGTTGATTTTCTCATATTTCTGATGTTTTGTGATGTCACAGGTATAAGATAATCAAAACCTAGATGTTTGAATGGGAACAATTACTGTCCAAGTCGCATAGGAGAAAATCACAAGAGCTAAGAGTTAATGGGGCACTGGCTGGTCAGAAATTTGCACAAAACATTTGTTTTGGGTTGTGACACAAAATGAGTATCAATCTAGCTAATACCGTATCTTCTACATCTTGCCTTCCCTTGCCCCTTGGAAGTGGGGCTTGGAAACCAACCAAGGTAGACGAAAGTGTCTTCCTTAGATGTCCATGAAGCAGTGGTGGTCAACCTTGGCTGGATGCTGAAACCACCTGGGGGCTTTAAAAAATACTGATGTTTGGTTCCCACTCTGAGAGATTTCAATATAATTGGGAATTTTAAAAGCTCCGTAGGTGATTCTTATGTCCAAGGTTAAAAATCACTCCCTACACTCTGGCTTCCATGTCCCTCCCCACTCCACCCCAATTGGCACTTCCTCTTCTTTTCCCAAGTCAGACCTTACCTATTCTGCCTTTCATCTTTTCAGGGTTATGTTGTCTGCAAATATATACACTAAACCTGTGATGTGACATCCAAGCTCCCAGGGATGGTGGCATCCAAATACACAACTTACTGGCAAGTACTGCTCGCACGTGGGCCAGTGTGAATGTGACATAGTATCTAGTCAGAAATGAGGCTGAGGTATAAAGGACAGAGGTGAGGAAGCTGCGAAGGCCCTCATGTTCCTCTCCGGATGCAGAGAGCATAGGAATGTCTGACCACTCTGGCATTGCCCTTTCTGAACACAATGGCCAAGTTATGTGGTCTTCCCACAGAGGCAGCTGTAACCACACGGGTTTGCTCCTGGTTGTCCCAATGACCCCAAACCAAGGAGAGCGTTTTAAGTTTACTTTTCTAGACCCTCTTCCTTTCCCTCTGCCAAACATTTTATAACCAAGTATCTCAAAGAGCTAATCTCAATTTTCTTCATATATATATGTTTTCCTTTTTCAAAGTCGAGGTCCTCCTTTATGCAGATAGCAGATAGATGGTACCTTTAGTCACATGGGTCACATAAAAGGACCCCAGCAGTAAACTGTTCCCTTTTAATCAACCCCTTAAGATCTTTGAGGACTAGAGGCCTGGATGCTGATTTATTAGCTTGAGCATCATTCAAAGGCTATAGAAAAGATTTGAAAAATGTCTGTGACCGAATTACCGGAAAACATCTCATTCAGTTCTGCCACTGTCCTTCCAAAGTTAGTCAGACAACGACCCTGATGGTGAATGGGGCACTAAATCTGGGTCTCAGAGACGTGTAGGAAGCAAAATCGGTAGTACTGCTTTTGTGGAAGATTAAAATAAAAGATAAATCAGTCATCCTTCCCTCCAAACTCCAGGATAAATGGGTTATTTCATGATAAGAATTATTGCTTCTTAGAACCAGAAAAAGAAACACGTCTAGGCTCCCAACGATGAATGGAGTGCAAAGGCCCATTTTCTCCTGGGATAACAAGAAAGGAGTCAGAGGGACAGGAGGGCAACTTGCAGAGGCTGTGGTTTGCAAGCCTTATTTTCCAATCCACCTTAGCAGATAGAATATAATTTTGATGACAAATAAGGCTCAGAGTCATTTTCTCTATCATTGTCCAAGTTATCAGGAGTATTTTTCTTATGTTCTAAGACAGAGGCAAGACATTTACACAGTTATGAGAGATATAAAGAATTACATGGATCAATAGTACTCATTTGCCAAAGGTAATGATGCTGATGCTGACGCTGTGTGTGTGTGTGTATGTGTGTGTGTGTATGTGTGCACATGCGCATGAGTACATGCACACACGTGTGCTAAGGTGAGTGCAACAGAAATGTTCAAAGAGAAAATCACATCCACATTAGATTCTTGTTATTGCTATCTCTTTGCATTATAAAAACTATTTTGATACAGTAAAACCTCATTAATTTGTATTCCACTAATCAGGAGTTTGTGGGATAAAGTTACCCTTACATTATGTGAGGGTTTATAAAAACAATATTGAAAGATTAATTTAAAAAGAACCTGTTCTTTTCAAGCATCTCAGAAGCACCTGTTTACTTCCAATTGTGCTAATTATAGACTTTTTATCTATTCATTAAAGCCAGAGTTTTAAGCACTTCTACTGTGAAATGCTATGCTGTCCTTTTTTGGTATTTTCTCTGTAGGCTTTAAAATATTCTGTAACTGTTATTTTTTACTGATTCATATAAGCTTTCTCCAAAATAGGATTTTATTGCATATGAACCACACATGTAATTCTGGGTAAAATAATTTATCTTGTTAAGACACTGTGCACTTATGATGTTTAATTTTATACTAGACATATATTACATATTCACACTTAACCTGTCCTTGTATAGAACAGTGGCTCTCAATTGGGAGCAATTTTGGCAATGGCTGGAGACATTTTTGATTGTTATTACTCAGGGGTTGCTACTGGCATCTGGTGGGCAGAGACCAGGGCTGCTGCTGAACATCCTACAGTCCCCACAACGAAGAGTTAGTGAACAGTGCCACGGCTGAGACACCGAACTAGACCAAGTTAAATCAGATCTTATTGGGGACTTCAGAGATATTGTACTTAATGCCACTTTGGACTGAATTTCATTGTTCCTAAAATAAACTAATATTGTAGTTTTTAAAGTTTTTTTTTAAAAAAATATAGAAATGATAAAGTATCTGTTCAGAAAACTGGGTCCTTGAATGAGATGGTATAAATAGTGCACTGCAACTTGACTACCAATGTTTCCCAAATCCTGGTCTCAAGTTTCTTTAACATTTTTACTATATAACTTTATGTATCATGTTGCATTTTGAAGTCAGGTTTTGTTACCCTAACTGTTCACAGGAATCTGGAGAGCTTCGTGGAGAGGCTTTTATGAGACATCGGGCAAATTCAAGGAGTCTGAGAAACGCTATCCTGGCATACATTAGCTGACTCTTTCAATCATCTTGGCTTTTCTCAAAATGACTAAGAACATTAAAAGGAAGTACCAGTTCAAATGCACTAAAGACTTTAAAAAAATCTTTTTTAAAAAACCCAAGAAATACTATTTTTGGCTCTTAAAAGAACCTGACTTCAGGAAAATGCAGAATTCTTAAAACACAAATGTTTATCTCGTAAGATCTTGATTAATCAAAATTAAATAAGCCAAACCCATTAATTTTTTTTAGAATCTGCATTTACTCACTTCTGGGACTTTTGACTTCCAGACTCAGGTTAAATAATGACAGCAGGTGTGCTTGTTTTGTTTTCCCTCCAGTTGTCATCTGTTGAGTTATGATAGATGCCTTTTGTCATGTGAAGGATAGTCTTTATTTCATGTTGAAGACATTTTTAAATAAGGAATAGGTATTTGGTATATATTGACAATAATCCTCTACATTATTTAGTCTAATGAATGACAGAATTATTGGTTTTGTATCATTAAACTCTCTGTGTTTCTGTTGTGCATAATGGTGACTAAGGTAGCAAAAACACCACTATATTTTATAAAGATTTTCAATAATAAGTATTGAACCAAAATTATTTTCTAATGAAAGCCCTTGTTAATCAGAAATGTAATAAATCAGAATTTCTTTCCCAAAACATTAACTGAGGTTTTACTGAATCATGCTGAAGAGAATGACCAGTTTGGTCTGTGAGTGTCCGGCTGCAAGAGCACCTTTGGATTGAAGACCCCCCCCAACACCCCTGGGTTTGAACAGTAATATACTGTGTAATTGGCAGACAAGGATACAGATGGAGCATTAAGAATATACCACTTTAGAAACTGAAACCAGAGTGTGTGAATTCAGTCCTCAAAGCTAACTGCATTGTTCCTAGAGTCAGTCTAGTTTCCCAAACCTACCAGTCAGCTCCCCTGCAGAGCAAAACCAGCTGAAAAATGCTTTGCGGTGTCCCAACCCTGCATAGTTTGTGACTAAAAATAGCAACTTGTTCTGAAAGTGACAGAAATGGAAATAATTGTATTAGCAATAATTTACTGTATTGGCAATACTTGATTATGACCAAGAACTGTGAATGATCATATTACGGAGCGAGAGGAACGTTACTCAGACGCTTGCCACCAGGATTCAGTAATGTTTTAGTCTAATGGAAGTTGTAGATGGGAAGAAAACTTTGGTTTTGTTTTCTCTTCCTTTTCAGCTGTATGGTAAATGTACTAGAAATGCACTGATAACTTCTAATGCAGATTTTTAAAATTGCCGGATGTGGCCCAATTTATAAAAATAGTTTACCATTAATCTTTTTTTCTTCTGTCACAACATGCTTTTTTTCTTTTCCTCTTAAGATGTTAATTTATCATGCAAAGATTTTTTTCATTAAGCGCATTAATGCTTTTGTTTGTACATGATTTTTTCAAATCAGGAGGACTCCCCGTAGTTCCTAAATGTAAATCCTTAGCAAATGACATGCCAAGACGATAGCTCCATTCCACGTGGGAAAAGGCAAATGCAGCCATACCTTGGGATTCTAGCCAGGGTTCCAGCCTTTTGGTTGTACAGTGTCTCTGATAAGTCTCTCTTATGACAACTTCAGATGGACTGTAATGGACATTTTGTAGAAGAAACTGGCTTCTAGCAGTTGAATAGTGATGCTGGGAATTAAATTTGTTTCCCTGAATAATGGTTTCTCAAAGCAGTCACAGCTTCTTTAGAAGTTAGAATTGGTACCATTTCTTATCCTTATATTTCAGCATTAACTGCAAAGAAAAAATAGTCACTGTGAGATGTTAAAAAAAATCTTAAAAAGTGTTAAGCAAGCTTATATTGAGTTAATCATGAATATCTCAGTAAATCTTCAAACTTATAAAACTTTCTTTACTTTGTAAATTAATGACAAAGGTTTTTTTTTTTTAAGGAAAACAAACCAAGCTATAAATACTCGGCTGACAAGAGATAATTTTCAGTGCTTAAGACAAAAAGGAGTGTGTGGAGCCTGGACGCTCCCTGAGATCCACGTTAGCAGCAGATGCACAATCTACAGCACATCAGAACTAATGGGTGATTTTCTTCAAGGTTATCCCCACGATAATGGAGTGTCAATGTATTACAGCATTTTTAAAAAGGATTTTTCTCCCAAGCACTGGAGGGACTGTAGTGGATCCAGGATGACTTACAATGAGAGGCATCTCTGCTTAAGCTTTCTGTGCTGGACCTACATAGTTCAAGTTATTACTGAGTGAAGATGCCTACATTTATTTAGTTACCTCATGTGCGTGTTTGGAAAATGCTTCCGCACTGGTCATCATGCCTGCAGTTTTCTCCTCCAGCTCTCCTAGCCTCTGCCCCCTCTCGTCCAGTGCGATCCTTGCTCTGGTCAGCTCTCCCATCACCCCGCCTGCAGCGCCTTTCATCCCTTCTATGCTGCCCGGGCCAGGAATGTGCTGGGCAAGGCTGCGGGATGCTTTTCCTGCTGCAGCTTCCCCAACTGGGAATTCAAGACAGAGCAACAGAAAACATTTGTCAGTAATTCAAATAGTGGCATTCAAATTTATCACCGAAGTACTTATATTAAGTCCTACTTCACACTTCTCCAGTAAGAGACAGACATATTTGACCCTATCATTGCACTTACCCAAGAAAAATGCCTACCAAAGAGACTGTGACAGCTATTGTTTTTTTTTTCTTTTTTAAAAAATATATTTTATTGATTTTTTATAGAGAGGAAGGGAGAGGGATAGAGAGTTAGAAACATCGATAAGAGAGAAACATCGATCAGCTGCCTCCTGCACACTCCCCACTTGGTATGTGCCTGCAACCAAGGTACATGCCCTTGACCGGAATTGAACCTGGGACCCT